TCACTCTTTTCTCACTGTCACAGCACACATTGTCTTTCTTTCTCACACACACACACATTTTTACACACACACACACACACACACACACACACACACACACACACACACACACCTCTCTCTCTCTCTCTCTCTCTCTCTCTCTCTCTCTCTCTCTCTCTCTCTCTCTCTCTCTGAACTCGTTGATGCGAAATGCAACCGTCATGTGTATTCGGGTTCAGACTGTCAAATTAAACGGTCACCTAGTAGACTGCGACAAGGGAAACCACACAGCGCCCACACCACCAATACTGGCACATCACATCACATCACGCTACGTTGCACATCACGTCACTCCTATGCCTCGTCGTCCACAGCTGCACCATCCTCTGCCCCAGCATCACCATTGCCGCCGCCGTCTTGAGCTGCGAGGTGCTTCGCCCCCGGCTCATCCCGCAGCGCAAACAGCGCGTCCTCCTTCAGGAAGACAGGCAGACACACAGGCAGGGATCTTCGCGTGAACAGCTCGCGTGCGCGTGAATGTTGTGATCGTGGTGTGTGTGTGTGTGTGCGTGTGTGCGTGCGTGTGTGTGTGTGTGTGTGTGTGTGTGTGTGTGTGTGCGTGTGCTTATGTGCTTATGTGCGCGCTTATGCTTGAGGGCGTGTGCACATTCTCGTGTCCGTACCGAGCTGCAGTTGAGTCGCACTTTTCTCCGCAAGTCAAGCATCGCTGGTTCCGCGAGCAAGATGCGCGAACTGGCCAGATTCGAGCACACCTGAACACACACGTGCATGTCAAGAAGCGGCAGTGTGTGTGTGTGTGTGTGTGTGTGTGTGTGTGTGTGTGTGTGTGTGTGCGTGCGTGCGTGCGTGCGTGTGTGTGTGTGTGTGACAGAAATGGGATGGCGGTTGTGCAACAAGTGTGGATATGCATAGGTACACGCATGTACGCATGTACGCATGTACGTATGTGTGCACGTGCGCGTACCATTGAGATGACAGTTGGAGAGGCAACGGGCAATGCGAGTTTGTTGCACAGCGAGCGATGCAGGCTGGTGATTTGCTCAAGCGTCGCCTCCTCCACCCCAAGCTCTGCAACAATTGGCCAAAAGCACCGGTGTAAGCACACATGAACGCATGGAAGGAGCACACCATGTCCTTCGAAAGCTTCAACCAGCACATCAGACTAACAAACGCGCGCGTACACACACACACACACACACACACACACACACACACACACACACACACACACACACACACACACACACACACTCACTCACTCCCTCACATCAAGCGCACCCTCAAGTCAACACCACCATCAACACCAATCAGCTATTGCCACCGCTTCGCACGTCTGAAGGCAGCGATGGTTGCGAGGAGGAAGAGCTTTTCCTGTTGTGCCGCATCCTCGATGGCGCGCAGCAGCGGCGATGATGTCATCTCCTTGATGGCCGCGCTCACGTGGTGGATCGTCACCTGAGAGACGCAAATATGGACAGGTAGATGGATGGATGGGTGGGTTGATGGGTAGAGATGGATGGATGGATGGATGGATATTGAGTGAGTGGATGAGTGAGGGAAGGTAGCAAAGTGGTAACGCGCTCGTGCCCACACAGCATGTGACCCTGACTATTCTCACCTTCAGTGGCACCTCCTCTTCGTCGTCTGCAACATCGTCCTTCCTGCCCTTGTCCGTGACCTTGTCTTTTCCCTTTCGCTTGTTCTTGGTCTTCTTGTCCTTGCCGTTGGTACCACGACTGCCGTCGCCACCGCTGCCACCAACACCATCGTCGCCGCCATTAGCAGCGCCAGCCGGCTTCGTGTCTGCCCGCGCAATCTCTGCAGCCCGCTGGCAGATGGTGAGCGCCCTGCGCGCATCGCCAGAGACGGCCGAAACCTTGCGGCTGCACAGCTGAATTGCGTCTGGCGTGAAACAGTCGTATTGTGTCAGGCGGTGCTGAAGAATCTCCACCAGCTGCTTGTGCGTGTAGGGCATGAACGTGAGGCGCGTGAGCCCAAGACGCGACGCAACGCGCTGGTGAAACACGCGCTCGGGGAGGTCCATGGTGTTGGCGACGGCAACCAGGATGAGGTGCGAGTGGTCGTGCGTCGGCCAATCAAACATGTTGTACAGGACCTGGTGGGTTGCGTTGCACCGTGCAAGGAAGACGTTCATGTGGTGGTGCATACGTGTGTGTGTGTGTGTGTGTGTGTGTGTGTGTGTGTGTGTGTGTGTGTGTGTGTGTGTGTGTGTGTGTGTGTGTGTGTGTGTGTGTGTGTGTGTGTGTGTGCGTGTGTGTGTGTGTGCGTATGTGTGCATACGTGTGAGTGAGTTGACGGACGGTACCTGGCGCACATAAACCATCCACATCATGAATTGCCGGGCAACCAAGCAGCCACCACAATCAGCGGCCGAGCAAACCCAAACCACGACACCGCGCGAACAACAGCTCAAACTATCACACCGCAGGCCACCACAAGCAGGGCCAAGCGCGCACGTACGTCCTGCTTCTTGGTGTAGAGCTGGTCGACCTCGTCAAGGAGCACAACAATGGTGCGCCGGCGCGGCGAGGGCTTTGTGAAGCGGTGGTTCAGCAGCGTCAGCGCCTGCGCAGCCGTCACCCCGGCCGCCTTTGGAAACAATGAAAAGAGGAGAAGCATGCGCAGGTGTGTGTCAAGGTGTGAGTAGGAAACTAGAAGGGGGGAGGGCCTGGCGTTATCGCCGCCACGCTGGGTACTTGACGTGGTGAAAGAGAGGGACAGATTCGTGATAGAGATGGCTTTAGAGAGTCAGACAGACAACCACACGTACACACACGTACACACACGTACACACACGTACACACACGTACATACACGTACACTCACTCACTCACTCACTCACTCACTCACTCACTCACTCACTCACTCACTCACTCACTCACTCACTCACTCACACACACACACACACACACACACACACACACTCACACACTCACCCACCCACAGCCTTCCCCCCCCCCCCCCCCCCCGTCTCCTTGCCCAAGTGATGTGAGTGCACGCACAGCGTCGCTGCCGGCAATGGCGTGCCAGAGCTCCACGTAGGCCTGCTTTGGCGTCGTCAGCGACATGCCGTTGATCTCAATAAACTGCAACGCACAGACAAGACGCCAAGAGAGGTCAGCAACACATACAGCACATACAGCACGTACAGCGAAGCAGGCCGGTCTGTAATCACAACCACCACCACCACCACCACCACCAATCTCGTGCACGCACCGTGAACTGGGGCATGGCGCCTGCTGCTCTCTGCGCTTGCAACTCTCGTGCGACTGCACGAATGGACGCCGTCTTGCCTGCATTCCAAATGCAATGCATGCGAAGCGCAAGTGCGTCAACACCCACGAAACCCACACGATCCACGACGCAGGCATGCATGATGGAATAGTCAGCACAATTGTTAGCGCTTCCACTCTACAAGCACGGTCACGAGGGCGCATAGATGCACATATATAGACAGACAACAAAACACGGCCTCTCCACCATATAAACGGGATCACAACCTGTGCCGGGCACGCCGCTGACGAACATGCACCCGCTGCTGCCGGCCTCGACTTTGGTCTGAATAAATGCCAGCATCTCGTAAAACTCGACCTGATGCACACGGCAACATGCAAAATGCAAACGCAGGTGAAGGCTGGTGAGAGCAAGCACAAGCACACACACACACACACACACACACACAAACACAACATAACACAATCACACACACACATACAACCACACACACACACACAATCCACAATATCACGGGCACACCTCTCTGCACGGGAGGGCCTCTGAGACGTGGCCAACAGCCGAGAGCTGCAGCTGCTGCTGTGCACGCTGCATGGCGTCCAGCTCCTCTGGTCGCGGCGCCTCGCCAGTCGTCGGCACATGCAACGCAGGCGCAGCCCGACCGCGGCCACGGCCACCACGCCCACGCCCACGCGACGACGACGCCTTCTTGCCCTTGCCTTTCGCCGCCGTTGTCTTCTTCTTCTTCTTCTTGTTCTTCATGCTCTTGTCCTGTTTCCTGTGCCCTCGCCGGGTGGTCCTCTTGCTGCGTTTGCGAGCGTGGCTGTCATCCTCGTCGCTGGCGACGTCCTCATCGTCGTCACTCTCCTCTTCCTCCTCGCTGCCACGAAACTCCACCTCCTCGTCACTCAGCCCACTCCCGCCCTCGCTCACATCTCCATCGCTTTCTTCATCACCACCACCTTTTGACGCGGTCCCCTTTCGCCTCCCACCGCGTGTTTTGCTGCTGCTGCTGCTGCTGCTGCTGCTGCTGCTGCTGCTGCTGTTGGTGGTGGTGGTGGTGGCCTCCTTGTGCGCTCCCTTTTGTTTTCGCTTCGACAAGTTCGTGTCTGCACACACCAGCCGTCGAGCCTCCATCGCCAGCACCTTCACGGGGCTGGTGGTGTGATGAAGGGGGGGGGGAGGTGGAGAAGAATGTGGAGAAGGAGGAGGTGGTGATGGTCGTGGTCATGCTGATGATTGGTGATTGACACAGCAAGTCGACGTACGCAGCCTTGGGGGAAGCATGAACACACACATACACACACACGCACACACACACACACTAACCCACACGCACGCACACACACACACACACACACTAACACACACACACTAACACACACAAACGAACATACCGCTGTTCGTATTTCATGAGCTTTCGCTTGTGGACATCGTAGTACCAGCGACAGAGGAAGCGATCCAAGTCCTCATCATCATCACTCCCATCGTCATCGTCATCATCGTTGCTACCATGCTGTGTGGTGCCCTCGCGTTGTCTGTCGAGCTCTCGTGCAACAGCGTCGTGGCCGTGGACAACAACACATGGCCCTTCCACCGACGCAGCAGGTACCTCATCCTGCAGGTAGTTGCTTGCAAACAACTGGAACCGTACGTGCAGCATGTCCATGTACGATTGGTGTATCGACAGGTGGTGTCGAAAGTCAGTGAAATCACGTTGGTACGCAAGCGATATGAAGCTCAAGTTCTGCACACACACACACATGCACATGCACATGCACATGCACATGCACATGCACATGCACGCACACATGCACACACATGCGCACACATGCGCACACCTCATCTTCTTCGAGCTTTGGGATGGCGGATTTCTTGAGCTCCGTGTCCGCTGCGCGGTGATACCAGCGAATGACAAGGTTGATGTCTTCAGAGTCCAGGTACTGATACACACCCAGCACTTCGGCCACGTACGGTGGGCCATCTGGGTCCTCTTGCTTGATGATCACACACTCGCCGGGCTTGATTGATTCCCCAGCCAACTGCGATCGACAAAGCAACGAAGCAAAGTTAAAACAGTGGTGCAGCGCAACTGTGAAATACATAGCTTGCTCTTCCACCTCATGCAATGCAAGCAGTCTGTGTGCACCGACAACGTCGACACGTCGACAGGTGGACACATGGACACACGTCGACACATCGACACGTCGACAGGTGGTTATGTCCACAGATGGACTCGCAAGCACATCGCTCATCACACATCATACATTGCACACGTCGACACGTGAGCAGACGTGCCCGCAACGCCAACACACGCACACGCACACACACTCGCACACGCACACGCACACGCACACACCTCGAATCCGGTGTAGACGATCTTCTTGCCGCTGACTTTGGGCTTGAGCCCAACGATTGGCGACTGCCACTGCTCCTCTTCGGAGTCCTCATCCACCGCATGTTGAGTGGCACGCAACCTGCCAATCGCCTGTCGCCGCCGCTGCTTGGCTGTTATCATTGGGCGGTTGCAAGCAAGCGTGAGTGCACGTTGGTTGCGTCGACAAACGTAGAGAGAGACAGAGACAGACAGAGAGTGTGTGTGTGTGTGTGCATGTGGCGTGACAGCAAACACACCAGCAGCAAGATCAACACACGCAAACACACACAGGTACAAACAAACACACACACACACCACACACACGCACACACACACACACACACAGAGCACCAACCACGCTTTGCGCCACTGCCGGCCATGTCTGTCTTGTCCTGTGTGTGCTGAAAATTGGATGAAATTATTCACCAATCGCCAAAACTTGCCTTCCTTGCCACGACAACAGAACACAACTCACGACAACGAGAGCATGCCGCGTTCACCGTCGCGTTCACGCTCGCGCTCGCCCGTGCGTCGACGAGAGAGTCGGCGGGAGGGAAGCCCTTCGCCCGACAGCAGACGACGCAGGAGGCACTCGCGCAGCCCAGACGATGATCGCCACCGCCACCGTAAGCGCCACGCTTGTGCTTTCCGTTTTGCTGCCTGTGGCAATAAGCGAGTGCGAACGACCTCCATCTGTTGCCACTTCACTGTGCACTTGGGTACACGCTTCACTCTTTGCGTGCACGGCTTTTGCTTGCACCTCCATCATGCGCTCATACGCACACACACACACACACAACATACGCAGGCGACGATGATGACGACCGCCGCAGGAGGTCATCGCGCGACGACCGGGACCGCTCCCACCGCCGTCGCCACGACGACGATGACGACTCTTATGACAGGCGGCGTGACAGGGACCACGACAGAGAGCATCGTCGCGACCGTGACCGTGACCGTGACCGTGACCGCGACCGCAACAGGGATGAGCGCGACAGAGGGCGTGACAGGGATGAGCGCGACAGACGGGACAGGGACAGGGATTATGACAAGCGTCGTGACCGCGACCATGACGACAGAGGCCGGGGCCGTGATGAAGACCGGCGTCGCAACAGAGACGACCGAGGAGAGCATGAGGACAAGGACAAGAGGCGGGAGAAGGATGACGGCGACCACGGCGCTGTCGGTAAGGTGCACATTCGGAAGCAGGCGGTGTTTTGTGGACTGTTGTGATGCAGTGGGGGTAGGGTCTGCGTTAACGTTGGCCACAGGTTGCTGAAATGTGGTGCTTTGTTGTTGTTGCTACTGTTCTTTCGCTCACCTCTTCCACTTGTGCATGTTCCTTCGCCGCCACGTTCAAACCCAAGACGAAGTGGATGCAGACGTAAGTGTTCAGCAGCGGGCATGTTATGTGTGTGTGTGTTTGTGTGTGTGTCTGTGTCTGTGCGTGTGTCTGTGTCTGTGCGTGCGGTTGTGTGTAGGTGTTCATGTGCGCATGTGTGCATATGCACTTTATGGGATGGTACATTGACGTGGGTGCATGTTCAACCCACAGGATGAAGAGGCTGTGATGTCCATGCTCGGGTTTGGCGGCTTTGGAACAACAAAAGGTGAACGAACACGTAACATGAAATGACATGACTGAACGCTTGGGTCTGTGTGGATGTGTGTGTGTGTGTGTGTGTGTGTGTGTGTGTGTGTGTGTGTGTGTGTGTGTGTGTGTGGATGTGCCTCTGTGTGTGTGTGTGTGTCTGTGTGTGTCTGTTGCTGTGTCTGTGTGTGAGGCCATGCATTGTGTTCATCTTTGTGTATGTGCGGTTTGGGATTAACACTCCCAATAACAGCACCTTCCCTCTCACTGTCTCACGTTTCTTTGTCCGCCCCCTCCTCCTGTCAGGGCAACACGTTGATGGCAACGCGGAGGGATTTGTCATGAAGCGCAGGGCCAAGTCGCGCAAGTTCAGGTGCGCACGCGTCTGTCGAGAGATTTGGAGACGGAGGGGGTGAAGAAACGGAGTTGTGGTGGTGGGGCGTTGTGGCTGCTGCTTGCGCTTAGATGATGACGTGCACACACACGCGCGCATGTGTACACATGTGCGCACGCATGAACCCCCGCATGGCAGCTCGCACTTGCGTTGCAATAGCAGCTGGCACATGAGTGCCCCCTTTGACACGTGTCCACACATGCATGACTGCATGCGTGCATGTGCTCACCTTGTGTGCATGTGTTTGGTTCTGCAGGCAATACATGAACAGGAAAGGCGGTTTCAACCGGCCCCTCGACTTTGTGCAGTAGACGACATGAGCGTTCACACACACACATACACACACACACACTCTCTCTCTCTCTCTCACTCACACACACGTTGTTTGTGTTGTTCGCTTGTCGTTTCATGCCCGACATTGTGTTTCACCCAAATGGTCTCGTGTGTCCATTTGTTGAGCCGCATGTCAGTGCGCGGCCCGTTGTCGTTCATCTGTGGTGCTGTTTGTGCACGTGTTTGGTTGTCCCACACACACCAAGAAGAAGAAGCCAAGGTACCACGACTGTTGTTTGTTCTGTGTCGTAGACTTCTTCATTGAAAGGGAACGAGAATGTGGAAAAAATTGACACTCTGCAAGACAAGTTTCACGCAAACACACACACACACACACACACACACACACACACACACACACACACACACACACACACACACACACACACACACACACACACACACACACACAAAGCCAGTACACCTTGAAACCGTTCGCCACCAACAACCCATACAAATGCATTTCACCCCATACAGACGCATGCCACCTCATACGATGGGCGGGCCACCAATGCCCCCGGGCCGGCCTGGTGGCGGCGGTGGCGGTGCACCAAACTGATCATGCTGCTGCTGCTGCTGTGGTGGCTGTGGTGGCCCCCCTTGGTGCTGTGGTGGCGGTGGTGGCGGTGGGCCGTTAGGATTCCACCCGGGCCCGCCGGGGCGACCAGGTGGGATTGGCGGCGGCCCTGACGACGAAGATGCTGGTGGTGCTGGTGGCGCCTGCGAGTGTGGGGGCGGCGGTCCGCCGCTGCTAGTGGGCGGGGCCTCGTGTGTGGGGCGATGGTCCACGGGAGGGCCCAGTGGCGGCGGCGCTCCAAACTGATCACGGCTGCCACCACCGCCACCACCGCCGCTACCGGGTGGGCCACCGGGTGGTGGTGGCCGCGGCCCGCCAAAGCCGCCTGGGGGCCGGTGGTGGTGATGGTGGTGGTGGTGGTGCGGGGGCGGGGGGCCACCGGGGAACGGGGGCCGCGGCGGGAAGGGGGGACGATCACGCATCATATGTGGCGGCATCGGGGGCCGGCCGTGCATGGGCCGCATGTGGGGCGGCGGCGGGCCAAAGCGGTCGCGTGGAGGACCAAAGGGGCGCGGGCCTCGCATGCGATCTGGTGGTGGTGATGGTGGGTGATGGCGGTGATGGGTGATGGCGGTGATGGTGGTGAAAATCAAGCAGTGGCATGCGGACCACGGAGGGTGATTCAGACGGTTTTGACACGCAACACGAGCAAATACACACATACAAGCACGTGCGCCACTGTTTGCTAGCACAGGCAAGTGCACTGACCAAAGCCGCCTGGGGGACCACCGGGGGGACCGCCGGGGGGACCGCCGGGGGGACCTCCTGGCATGGGACCCATCGGACCTGGTGATGTTGACGACAATGCATCACAGAGAGCGGTGCGCACACATATGTACAGACGCACGCACGCACACGCACGCACACAATCAAACACGCACACACGCACACACATCAGACAGGAGTGTGAGTGAAAGAGGCACGTGAGCTGCTTATGCAGTGAGGAGTCAACCAATCAAAGCAGCACAGGAAAAGGGCCGTGTATTACGTGGTGGGGGCATGCCACGTGGCCCGGGCCCTTGATGATTGAAAAAGAGCCACAAAGCGCAAGTCAAACAACGATGACAGGTGATGAAGGTACATTGCAACGTCAGGTGCGTAAGCATGGGTTTTGCGGATGAGGGATGAGGCCAGCAGTATAATGTCACAGGCGAGAATGGGATGCGTGCAGTGTGTATGTGTGTGTGTGTTGTGTGTGTTGTGTGTGTGTGTGTGTGTGTTGTGTGTGTTGTGTGTGTTGTTTCGTCCATCTGGCGTGGTTAGTGGTGGCAGCTTGCACTGCGCTGTCTTACCCATGTTGGAAGCGCCATCTATCCCAAGGACAAGATCACCAAACGCAGAAAACAAAAGCATGCATGAGTGTCAGAAAGCTCGGAGTGCTCAACACACACACATGCACATACACATGCATATACACATATACACATGCATACATACACATGTACACACGAGCATGTGCGCGAGAGAAACCAGCACAGCAGCAGGGGGACGTACATTTCTCGCGCTCCTCTGGTGACGCTTCGTCGAGCCAGGTGCGGTAATAGTGGATCACTGCATCCTTGTGCTTGCGACCGGTGTTGTGTGTCTTACGCACGGACGGCTGCACACGTGTGTGGGGACACAAACGCAGACGTGAACATGGGCGTGCATGAGGGCATCGACGGTAGTGAGTGGAGACGTGCACAGCGTATGGGCAAAGCACAAACAAACACACACATTCAACGGCTTGCATTGCTCACCGAGTCGTGCGTGAGGAAGGTGTCGCAGTAATCGCAGTAGTACCTGACGAATGTGTGTGTGTGTGTGTGTGTGTGTGTTGGGGGGGCGAGGGTCAGTGCGGACTCAGTGTGGCATACGCAGAGACGCACAAACGGAGAGACGCATGTTCACACAAACACTCGCTCTTTCGCTCTTTCTCACTCACACACTCACACACACACACACTCATACACACGGAACATACACACACAAACACACACAAGCACACATACACACAAGCACACACTCTCAACACACACACACTCAACACACACTCAACACACACACACATACACATCGCACATGCACTCACCGTGGCATGGTGCTGGTTCAGTGGTGAGGGAGCTGTCGAACGAACGTTCCACCACAGACACAGACGCAGCCGTGGATAATGACGATTGGCGAAAGATTTGGGCCAAATTCCATCAATCCACGCCACGATACAGCCAACAACACACGCACGCACGCACGCTTCCACCACAACAGCAGCACGCACAAGCACAACACCAACCAGGCAAGATGAGCGAGGCAAAGCCGGCAGGGCCGAAGAACACGACAACGGACAAGGGCCAGTGCGCCAACACAACGTGCACCACAGAGAGCACAAAGCGGTGTGCAAGATGTAAGGTGGTGTTCTACTGTTCACGGGAGTGCCAGCGCGCGCATTGGCCCAAGCACAAGGCGGACTGCCGCCTGTTCAGCCAGCTGCCGGAGAAGCCCAACGTGAACGAGGAAGAAGAGGTCGTCAAGACACACCACCGCGAGTTCCGGCGTATCGTGCACAAGTACGGTTTGGACAAGGGCGACAAGGCAGACCTGCTGGCAGACTTTCTCACAGACAGCTCACAGAACAAGAGCATCAGCCCGGATGCGCTGGCGGAGAAGTTTGACATTCCACGTGGCGACGCGTCAACGCTTCTGGCATGGGTCGACGTTGCCCTCAGATTTAAGGAAGCGAACCTCGACAAGCCGCAGGACAAGCAATAGGCACGACCACTTGAAACAAGCCTGCCTCAGGCCAATTCTGTTTGCCCTCCGTCAAGTGATAGATGCCCTTGTTACACATTCGGCTTTTATGTGTGTGTGTGTGTGTGTGTGTGTGTGTGTGTGTGTGTGTGTGTGTGTGTGTGTGTGTGTGTGTGTGTGTGTGTGCAGGTGTGTGTGCAGGTGTGTGTGTGTGTGTGTGTGTGTGCAGGTGTGTACAGGTGTGTACAGGTGTGCGAGCTCATGGATCATTGCGGTCATGTGAACTGACTGATAGACCCCTCCCTCGTCATCCCCGCTGTATTCACTCCCCCTTGTCTCTTCCCTGTCCCTCCTTGCTTGTCTTGCCGCCCCGTTGGCGTGTGTATTGAGTGGGCTGTACGTTGGTTTGGGGCATAAGCAAAAGCCGCCCGCCTACCCGCGTGTGCGTGTGCATAGACGTTCGCGAGAAGAGCAGGTGGCAAAACGACCACAACAACAACAGACAGAGAGGGGGAGGGGGCGAGGAAAAAGGGGCGCTTGTATGTGCAAACGTACGGCCAGTACACGGTTGGGAGAGGATAATAAACGTCAGCGCGCATGCTACAACAACAACAACATCACAACAGTCGAGAAAGAGGCAACAAGACACCGGCAGGGGGGAGGTGGTCATGAAAGACTTGTGGGTGTGCGATCACGCAAGCAACCAAGCAAGCAAGAAACAACAAGCAACAAATGACAGGGCGCATTCAAGCAAGCACATTGGCGCGCAGGAACAACGAATGACCAGCATAGCATGGCAGGGCAGACACAGAAAGGCGGGGAACAGGATAGGAGAGACGGGAGAATAGTGCGAAGGATGAACGGTGAAAGGTGAACGGTGAAATGTTGACTACGGCACACAAATGAATGTCAACATATGGAAGCCAATTCAGCGGCGTCAAGGAAATAAGATCAAGGGGTGGGATACCAGTGATTTGGTCGACAACGATGCAAGCACAGCAAGCACGAAGAAAAGAAAGAACAGCTACAACAGCTACAACAACAGCAATAGCAGCATGAAAACAAACAGTGCCGCGACAACAACAACAAAAAAAAAAAAAAAACGGGATGAGTTAGTGGGGCGGGCGTGTAAGGAGAGGAAGGCAGGCGTCAGATACAAAAGCTTGCATTTACACGTTGGCAAGCAGACCAACAGCCAAACACAAACGGAATGCGTTGGGGAAACATGGTAAAACAGGTGTGAGCTCGTTTGAGAGGACATGAAGACACGGAGGAGGAGAAGGAGGAGACGGAGAAGGAGGAGAAGCAACGGCACTCGCGTGGCCGATGGCGACAAGTACGCGATGCAGTGGGGTGGGCAAAGAAGGATGGTGGCAGTGCAACGCATTGTGCGCACGTCAGCGTGGCACGTGGTCTGGGATATATCGGCATCCACGCACCAACGTGCTCGCGTGCTCGCGGGCTCACACCATCACCACGTTCGATGCTGCCGTTGGCGTGGCTGCATCTGCTGTTACTGATGTTGCTGATGTTGGTGCTGGCGCGGTAGGGGTGCGAGCGTCGACGTCTTGGTCAGCAGAGGAAGATGTGTCCTCCATCACCACGGTTGCGTGCCCACCCATCACACCATTGCCACTGTCATTTCCATTTCCATTGCCGTTCACGTGCACGGCGCCCTCCAACTTGACGGCCGCCGCTTTGCCGGCTGTTTGCTCCTCCTGCTGCGCCTGTGTCTTCTTCTCTGCTGCACTGGGCTCGTGCTTGCTCTGCTCCGCGTTGCCCTCCGTGGCTGTGCCGTCATCCTCCTCTCCTTGAGCGTTTTCCTTTGTCTCCGCTGACGCCTTCTCACCATCATCCCCTCCATCCTCCCCACCCTTCTTCTTCCCTTCCTCGCCACCCTTCTGCTCCTCACCAGCACGACTGCCATCGCGGTCGTCATCACCGCCTGCTGCAGCCTCAAACACATCCCCATCATCTTCGTCATCATCATCATCATCACGATTGTTGTCGTCGTTGCCGCGCGCGTTGCCTGCAGGCACGATCGGCGCCAGGCTGAACGTCGTGATCTTCCGCGGCTGCGCCGTTACCACCTCTGCTGCGCCGCTGCTGCCATCACCACCACCCGACCCAGTGGCTGCAGCGTTGGGAGTGAGCGAAAACGTCGTGGTCTTGACGGTGCGCGTTGTTGTTGCCTCGGCAGCCGTCACCCCCGTGCGAAGCGGGGACGGCCTCACACCACCGCCACTGCCGCTCGCGGTGTTACTGCTCGTGCTGCTGCTGGGACTGCTGGCGCCACTGCCACTGCCACCACCGCGCTGCGTGCTGCCGTTGCGCTGCCCCTGATGTTGGCGATGGCGGCCACGTGACTGCGGGGACGTGCTGTCGGACTCGCGCGGGCTGGTGCTGCGGCTCAGGCCGTGCACGTCTGCACTCTTCTGCACCACATGCGTCACCTCCGCTTCCTGGAACGCCTGTGGTGTGTTATGCGTGTGTGTTATGTGTGTGTTATGTGTGTGCGTATGTTATGTGTGTGTGGTGTGTTATGTATGTGTGTGTTTGTGTGTGTGTGTTATGCGTGTGTTTGTGTGTGTGTGTGAGTGTTATGTATGTGCGTGTTGTATGTGTGTGTGTGTGTGATGAGAAATGTACAAAAAAAAAAGTGACGGGAGAGGGTTCGTGTGTTGAACATCACAGAGGGCCCAAGCAGGGACGTCAAGCCATGCACATACAGAAAGCACAGGCAAGCATTGCGAGTATGGGTGTGCGTGTTGCTGACCAACGACTCACCAGCTCATACATGTGATACAGCCGCTTGCCAAACAGCTTCCGCGCAGTGTTGTTGCATTTGCCTGCAGTTGTGTTGCGTGTGTGTGAATGTGTGTGAATGTGTGTGAATGTTTGTGAATGTGTGTGTGTGTGTGTGAACGTTTGTGAATGGTTGTGAATGGTTGTGTGTGAATGTTTGTGAATGTGTGTGCATGAAAGAGACAGAGACGACAAAATATACAAGCACCCTCAAAACAAACACACACACACACGGTTTTCGGCAAACGCTCACTCCTCGCGTTGCTTCGCACGTACCGCAGCAGCAGTCGAAGCAAAAGCAGCAGCAGCAGCAAAAGTAGCCCAGCGTCAGCGCCCCAACGACGTTGAACATAAACTGATAGATGCAAGCAGACGGAGCACAGCAAGGCGACGTGTGTCGACAGTGCAAGCCGTTTGCACGTGAGTGCATTCTTACGCTGGCACTGCACGCACCAGTGGACAGTGCATCGAACCATCGTACACAATCACGCACACATGCATACATCCACACAAACATCTACACGTACACATGCAAACACACACACGCACGCACGCACGTGCAGAAACACAGATGACGACAGCTTGCGACAAAGCGACACTTCATCTTGCTCGCTCCCTTCCCTCCTATGCCACGACACCTTGGCGCAGGGGCTGCAGTGGAGCTCGTCGTCGTCAACCTGCGTCTGCTGGATCTGGTCGGCCACGTGCAGGCCTTTGAAGCCGAGCTTGTCGTACACATCGCGCGTCACCGGCGAGGAGAGCACGTTGAATGCACAGCGCACCCGTTGGAACTGCACAGGAACATGAACCAGGGTTAGATTGCGCGGCATGATGGGGTGGGGAGTGGGGAGGTTGCCGGCAATGGGGTGTAGAGTGGGGAGGACGATGGGAGGGGGGTGAGATGTGATGTGTGCAGTGCAGTGGAGGGGGAAAGATCATGTGTGGAATACAGCGGGTAACATGTTGAAAAGTAGAGGAACATGTGATGTGAACAAGAATGAAGGATGAGATGACGGCTGCTGGTGCAGCAGCAAGGAGGAATCGTGTCAGCGAGCGCACCTCTGCTTGCGTGTCTGCGCCTGGGTTCTTGTCTGGATGTAGCCGAACCGCAAGCTGTTGGCCGAGAAAAGTGGGGAACAAACCAAAGTGGTGTAGCGCAGAGACGAAACGCAGATGAGATGTAGGCATCGCACACACGTACGTATTGGACGAGTGTGAGTGTGGGGGTGACCAGAAGATGCACGTGCTCTGTGGAGTGTCTGTCGCCAGACAACCGCATGCACACATGATGTGAGTGAAACTGACCTTGCGGTAGCACTTCTTGATATCATCTTGTGTGGCATCCCGTGGAATGTTCAGCACATCGTACAGCGTCTTGCCAGACGCTTCAATGCTGGGTGAAGAAATAGGGAGTGGAGTGTCAAGGTGTTCGTGGGAAGACTTGTGCACGAGAAGACAAGGCTTTCATTCACACACACACATGCGCACACACGTACACACACACACGTACACACACACGCACGCACACACACGCACACGTATACACACACACGCACGTACACACATGCAGGTCAAGAACCGACACCGCCAAGGTGGTCCGCAGAAGCGCAAGGGTTCACAGAGCCACACCACCACGACGAACAGAACCACAACATGCGTCACTCACTCCCTGAGGACTTCGACTTGGAATTTGTCTGCTGCCCTTGTTTCCAGGATTTGCTGGCTGGTTCGCCTTTCACGTTCTCCCATGGCGGCAGGAGCGGGCGTCGGAAACTGTGTGGTTGCCACGTGTGCGCGCACCGCAGGAACTGTGAGGTACACAGTCGGTGCACGCCACCAACAACAACGAAGCAGAAGAAGAAGAAGAAGAAGAAGAAGAAGAAGAAGAAGATGTGTGTATGTGAGTGTGTTTGACACTGGTGAACAACGTGACACACGGTTGGTTGAGTGAACACGCCTAATTTGTTGGCAAACAAAGTGTTTGAGAAGCGAGCCAGCAAGCAAGCAAGCCGAAAAGCTAGTAAGCAGCAAGCAAGCAAGCTAGCAAGCAAGCAAGCAGCAAACAAGGCGTGTATTGGATGGAAGGAGGAACCCAAACAACCACCAAACGACGCACACCACCAACCAACCAACAACGCACTCACATACGGTTTCAGCGAGCGGCTTCCAAACTGTCCTGCTTGGGAAAAATTGACTTTTTGTCCAAAGGCAAAATTGCCTTGTTGTTGATATATGTGTGTGTGTGTGTGTGTGTGTGTTTATTGGGGAAAACTCGCTGAAATCTTACACTGCTCCCAGCGCTCAAAGATGGGGAAGGCAATTGCGGCAAAACAAAGGGCAGCGGTGCGTATGGGCGAATGTGTGTGAGAGCACGCGCCTCATAGACAGAAAGAAAAGTGAATCAATAGATAGATAGAAACCAAGTGCCTCGGTGCGAGGCTCATGTGTAGTGCTGCGACTGTCGCTTAGACAGTTGCAGGGGGCTCTGTTGCGGCCGGGCCACCGGGGCTTCGTGAGGTCACTGGGGCGCTGCGTGGCTGTCCCTCATCGTTGTCGGTGGTGGCGGTGGCAGCGGCGGTGGCAGCAGTGCCGTTGTTGCTGTCATTGCTGCGCTGGCCGCTGTGGCCGGGGGGTGTGGTCTGCGGATGCTTGCGCTTGCGGGTGCGCTTGCCCTGTTGGTGGTTGCGCTGGGCTTGAGCGCGCGCTCGTTGTACCGTCTGGGTGCTCTGGCGGGGAGTGTGTGTGTGTGTGTGTGTGTGTGTGTGTGTGTGTGTGTGTGTGTGTGTGTGTGTGTGTGTGTGTGTGTGTGTGTGTGTGTGTGTGTGTGTGTGTGTGTGTGTGTGTGTGTGTGTGTGTGTGTGTGTGTGTGTGTGTGCGTCTGACACACGCAACGCTGATTTCTATTGACGGAAGAACAGAACAGAAAAGGGACAGAACCAAAAAGAGCAAACGGGAAGGCAAGGTGAAGTTAGGAGCAGGGCAGGCACATTGGCTGCGTAACGAGCGAACGGCGTGGGAGAGTGTGCGTAAAAGAACAAGGTGGGAGCATAACAGTGCTGAGTGATGACCGAGGACGGAAGGAGGAAAGTGAACACACCAAGGGGTGGTGTAATGTAACAAAGAAAGAAAGAATCATGGCAATGCAAGCTATCAAAGTGATGTGAAATGATGAGAACAAAACAGGACTGAAACTCTGAAACTGGCTAGGGGCCGCGGAAAAGGTTGGCTGGAGAAAGGGAGACTGGATGGCAAATGGCCTCCACTGAGCTGTTCAGCCAGTGCCACACAAATGCATGCACGCACGCACACAAGCGTACGCAATCACACACACACACACACACACACACACACGGACAAACACGGCGCACACATGCACTAGGACTCAGGCCTCAAACACAAGAACGGCCCGCACAAGAACGCACGAAGGGTCTGTCACCACAATCTCCGCAGCTGGAACATTATCGCCCTGGGTCCACTGCGAATGCGTCTCAAACGGTAATGCAGCTTTGACTTTGCCGCTGGTGAAGTCAACCACTGCCACGTGCGCGTCGTGCCCAGCAACAAGCGGGAGGCCAATAAATGACCGCCATCGCGGCGTCGGCAACTGTTGCACGGGGATCGCCTGCAGCATTGGATGCACACTGGTTTGTTTCACAGGATACGGGTTGCCGTACATGACATCGCACGCCAGCACAATGCGGTACGATTTGCCGGGCTCAAGGTTGAGGCAGTGCAGGTCAGGCGGGACGTTGTCGTGGTCTGCGCTCACCGTGCACGGTTGAGCGTACGCACACGCGTAGTCGAGATCTGGTGTAAAGTAGAAGCCAGCACCGTACCACCCTTTGTCCGTCTTCTGCAGTTGTGCAAAGTCGCCACCCAGGATGCCAAGGACGGCGTCAAATGACCCAACGCCGTGGAACACGCGCTGGATGCGCAGTGGCGGGTCCTTTGGCAGCAGGGATGGATCGAGCATGCTGTACACGCCAACGCGGGTGACACGCTCCAGCACCGCCCGCTCCTCAGCAACTGTGGCTTGGCCCGTCGTGGTGTCGTGGTCGTATTTGGGCGCAAACGGGTGGCTGGCGCTGGTGAGGTGGCCGCGGTAGCGGGTGGTGTTGCGGTGCAGGGCGCCGTTGAAGGCGACGAGCTTCTGATCGCACCACGTGATGGCGACGCGGCACAATGTGCGGCCAAACGGTTCGCGCGGATTCTGCTCGGCGGTCCGGCCACCAGCGGCATGGACAAGCTGCAGGGTGGACGAGAGAGAGAGAGCGAGCGAGCGAGAGAGGGAGAGAGAGAGAGAGAGAGAGAGAGAGAGAGAGAGAGAGAGAGAGTCACACTCGACAGTCGGACCAGCCGCACAACTCGACTTTCAACGTGACGCGGTTAGAATAAATCGATCTGTTGACCTCGCTAAGAAAAATCAAACGAAAAGTTATCCGGTACAAAAAAAAACAAGCGGGGGACGCCTGTCGTTGTTGTTGTTATTGCGATATTGCATATGCCGATCTCCTTAGTAGCCAGAACTGGACGTATAGATTTAAGTCCTCTAGTGGTTCGCCTTATTACTTCGTCCTGGGTCGCACTTACCGGCCTAATGTTTGGATCTCTGGGAGTTCTATCTATGATCGTACCTGAACCATTGTCCTGATCGGCCAGAGATGGACAAGCCGAAAACCTACGCTCTACCCTCAGAGAGAGAGCGAGCGAGCGAGAGAGGGAGAGAGAGAGAGAGAGAGAGAGAGAGAGAGAGAGAGAGAGAGAGCGTATGTTGGATGCGTGCGTGCGTGTATGCGTGTGTGTGTGCGTTTATGTGTGTGTGTGTTTGTGTGTGTGTGTGTGTTCACATTGGATGCGAAAGTGAGAAATCTACGAAGAGCACAATGCTGGCAACAAGCTGAGGTGAAATCGTTGGGTGCATGGGGAAGAACCAAGGCACACACACACACACACACACACACACACACACACACACACACCTCAGTGACGGCGTCCTCGTCAAGTTGAAGTGGTGCAATGTGGACGCGTTGCGTCCACCGCAGCCAGCAGCTGCTGTGGAAACTTCCACACCGCATCTGGTGGTCCGTGCAGCAGCATGTGCTGTTCCCGCAAATCGTCCGCCTCCTGATCACGAGCTGCCCTTTGTTGCGACTTGAGGGCGGCGTGCAGTTGAGAAAAGTCCACCCGGTTGCCGCTCGCATCAAAACACACACAAAGCAGCGCCTGAAGCGCAGACGTCAATCGCCGTCCATTGATCTCTGCATCAAGCGGCAGGTACTCGAGGTTGCTGTACCTGATGCCAAGACTTGCTTGAGTGATGCCACCCCTGCTGTACGGCCCGTGGTGCCAAGGAACGACGCCAAACCACACCTCCCACACCACGCAGCCAAAGGAGAACACGTCCGTGTCTGCACGAATGTCGTGTCCAAAAAGCTGCTCGGGCGATTCCCAGAACCGCGTGCCGCGAACATGTGTCATCGTAGATGCGTCCTCTGAGACGAACGCGCTCAGGCCAAAATCCGTCACCTTGGCAGAGAGGGATGCGTCCAGCAGCACGTTGGGCGACTTGAGGTCGCGGTGAACGACGTTGTGTGCATGCAGGAACTCCATGGCAGCCGCCACCTCGCTCAAGATGCGCAGCTTGTCAACATCACTCAGGTTCTTCTTGTGCACGTGTGTGTAGTCGTACAGAGACCCGTTCTCCGCCCAGCTCAGCACGAAGGAGAGCGTGTTGTGGTCGTTGTCGTAACAGAGGCCGAGGAAAGGCACGATGTTCGGATGGCGGAGCGACGCAAGGACGGCCACTTCTCGCAACACACGCTTGCTGTCACCATCACTTGTTGTCGTGCTGTACATCTCAGTCAGCAATTGCTGCAGTCGTGGTCGCTCTTCAACATCGTCCACTTCCTTCAGCGCCACATCGTGCCCAGCAAGCGTGCTGCGGTACAGCTTGCCGAACGCACCCTTGACGGGGTTGCCCTTGTTGTCTCTGACGCGTTTCTTCGTCGTGAAGCGGGCTGGGTCCAGGTTGAGGTTGAAGAAGGACTCTGCATCATTATTGGAAGGAGAAAGTGCGAGAGAAATGGTGAGAGCCAAAATGATGAGAGCGCACGGACGTTCGTACTTGATGATGAGAGCGCACCGACGTTCGTACTTGTTGTGGGGAGCACGCACACAAACAGGCACACACACGCGCGCGCGCGCACACACACACACACACACGCGCACGCACATACACGCACACACACACACACACACACACACACAAACAGGCACGTGCACGCACCTGCTTGGTCTTCCAGTTGACGCAGCCGTTCCTCTGCAGATGTGCAAAATTGAGAGTGGTGAATGGGGCTGAAGATGAGACGAGGAAGGCGAAGAAAGGCAATGTAAGGGTGCTCTTGCATTGGTCGAGAGATCAAGGTAGAAGGAGTGCAATCAGCATTCAAGATGATCCCGGCACGACCACAGGAGAGACCATGCGTTAGCCCACCTTTGCGCTGCAGCTGTTGATCCTTCTCCTGGATGATGCGCTGAAGGCGCTCGATTTCCTCACCTGAAATCAACAAACGCAAACAACATTCAGGCGCTCGTGTGAACACATGATCACGAGAGTACCCGGGATAATCTGGGAGACAGAGGCACGGGCATGGTGTTTGGCTGGCAATGTCAACTCATGATGTGACGGACTGTCCACCAGTCCACCTTTTCGTTGCAGCTGTTGGTCCTCCTCCTGCATGTCGCGTTGAAGGCGCTCAATTTCCTCACGTGAAACTAAACATACATCACACAGATACGCAGGCACATGACGATGCATTCACAGAGATGAATTGTGAGCCATTGATTCTGGCACTTTGGGCTTAGTGTACAACCAATAAAAAACACACACCAACAAACACGACAAAACGTCATGCGCAGTCAACAGGCACGACAAAACGACTTCATTGGCGGACATGCTTGCATGCATAATTCAGAAAGCCGTACGCGGACGGGGAACGGCGGTGTCGTTTCCATTTTGTGCCTGCTGTCATGCATGGGTGAAGTAGATAAGGGGGGGGGGGACGATATGTGACAAAGACAACGAAGATGAGGGCACGAGTGGAGGGGGGGGGGGTAGCTGAAACAAGACGGGCTGATGATGATGATGTTTGTGTACACTGTGCATTGTGGTTTTACCTGCACTTTGTCTTGGTCTTGCACGCGCTGCCCTTCGTCAAACGCCCGCCGTTCAGAATTAGTTCTGGAGGCAGTAAGCAGAGATAAATGACACGTCGCAGCATGAGGTGGGCATTTGCGTCGTTGGATGGTCGACGGACAAGGCACAACACCAGTAGGGGCCATACTGGCTCAAGGGGACGTACAGAATTAGGCAGTAGTTGCTTTCCATCGGCCACTTTACTCCGAACGCGCGGGCGGCATCCTTGCCAATTCCTTCGAGCCTGAAGGAGAGAAGAAACAGTTGATGTGAGGACGACAGCAGCTGTGCCATTCACACATGTCAAAGCCGAAGCGAGGGAGCAAAACCTCCAAGGATCACAGTGCAAGAGCACAAAAATTGCAGCACAAGCGCGAGTGCGATTCGGGACAATACAAGACAGACCAACCAAAGAGTTTGCAGCCATGTATGCTCGCACAGTGCGCCAGCCAATGCAACACAGCCTTCCTTCTCAATCGAGTTGTTGCCCAAGCTGCAATCAAAGTCAAAGCACAACACACACGCGCACGCGCGCACACACAAACACAATCGCAGCACCAAACAGCACATGGCAAGGTCAACTCATTGCACAACTCATGCAACAGCACGCTGTCAGCATCAACACTCACAAACCAACAAATGCACCTACTAAAGCGTTTGCAGTCCAGTGTGTCCGCGCAGTGCACCAGCCAACGCAACACAGCCTTCCTTCCCAATCGAGTTGCCGTCCAAGCTGCAATCACAAACAACCAGCGCCCACACAAAACATCATTGTTGTGCATCGCAAGCAGGCGATACAAATCACTCAGACAACGCAGCAGAGCAACCACTCGATTACACTCAAGAAGTCAGTGAGAGTGCGCCGAACACCCCTCCACACACACACACACACACACACACACACACACACACACACACACACACACACACACACACACACACACACACACACACACACACACAAAGGCGCGGAGCGACTCACTACAACACCCGAATGTCATTGTTGGGTCTGATGTTCAGTGCAATTGCCAGCGCCTTGGTACCTTTGTCCTGGAGCCCTGCAGCATTCAAACTGAAACCCGTAAGGTAACAGCGGGCCTGTGAGGAGAGCGTTTCTGAAAGCAAAACAACAAGCAAGCCGCAGCACCAAACAGAGAAACACAGCCCTCACATTGCATTATGCTAAGGGGTTCTGACTGACTTGACATTAGTGGTCGACATGCCGTTGGCAACAGCTCGAATCGTGTCCTTCACACTATCTGTCAACCCCGCCTCTGCCATCCACGCCTCCATCTCGTCCATCTTGGTGCTTTGCTGGTCTCGCTGTCTCGGTGTCCTTCCTCAGCACTTCACGCCATACACTGACACTCTCTGACACTGATCACCCTCGCGATCGTTAAAGCGTTAAACCTTCCCTCTCGCTTCGATCGGGCCTTCCAGCCCTGCGTGCTTTTGCGTGGGCGCTGTCACACACAAGCCAGTATGCGCTCTGCGAATAGCCAGCCAGCCAGAGAACAACTCAAACAACACCTCCACCCCACAGCACTCGCTCAGGTGCTGCTGTTGCGCTGGTTGCGGACAGTTTGGTCTGCCAGTGTTGTTGTTGTGTGCTGTCCTTGGAGGTCACCGAAAATCATTCATATCTTCAACCAATGATCCCACCCCAACAGAAGTTGTCTTCCCAGCCAGCCACACACATGTTTGTACATATTTCTTTTCTTTCACTCGACTTGACATGAAGTGACAGACACCTCAGAGCAGCTCCTCAGACAGACATTCATACTTTCATACGCATATACATACATACGCATACATGCACACATTGACACACGTCAGCTATGCGTTGTTACTGCCTTCCCCTTCCTCTTCCCCTTGTGTAGCTGAGGATCCTTGCTTCCGCTTGGCCTTATGTTTTCTGCTCCTGCTGGTGGTGCGCTTGCTGCTCTGCTTCTCGTCACGTTGTTGTTGCGCGTGATGTTCTTGCTCGGCTGCCTGTGCGCGCCCCTTCTTTGCCCGTTCGGATGACCTTATAAAGTCAGCAAACCTGAGGGTAGGGGGGAGGGGGCAGAGGGTGAGAGAAGGAGGTCAGGCAAGGCTTTGCAGTAAGGCAGTAGGGCGGGTGTGTCTGGACGGACGGCCCTCAAGCAGTAAAGCGTCGTTCCTCACTGCTTTCTACAGCCACTTCCCACTTGCATGGTTTGTCTCTTCATACGCGCCGAACAAACAGAAAAGAGAGAAAGAGGAGGCACGCTGGGTGAACAAAACACGTCAAAGTACTCAAGTACACAAGCAGCACAGGGTTACAGAGAGCCGACAAAGCAATTACCGTGGATACAGCACATCTTCAAAAAAGGGAAACCGGGCACAGAACACGAAAGAGAGAATGGTACAGTGCATAACAGAGCACCTGGAGGAGGAGGTGTGTGTGTGTGTGTATGTAAGATGCCAGGATGCATTTGACTGGCAGCAGGTCAGCGCTGGCCAGAGCTCCCAAAGAAAAACATGTCACACAGGGATGGGAGTTGAATGGCAGAGGATGGTTACAAGGCACTGGACGTGGTGGTGTGTGGCTCCAACAGCTCTTCGCTGCTCACGCCTCAGCTCCCTTTCCTCCCAGCAGCTCCAGTTGAATGGCTATGTGTGGGCGAGTGAGTGAGTGGGTGAGTGAGTGAGTGAGTGAGTGGGTGGGTGAGTGAGTGAGTGAGTGAGTGAGTGCGTGAGTGAGTGAGTGAGTGAGTGAGTGAGTGAGTGAGTGAGTGAGTGAGTGAGTGAGTGAGTGAGTGAGTGAGTGAGTGAGTGAGTGAGTGAGTGAGTGAGTGCGTGAACGGTGTGAGAAGTGGGCCCGCAGGTGGGTAGCAAGCGCAGGAAGACACTAGCAACACGGCACACCTAAGGCGAAGGCATGGCTATGCCCAACCGAAGTGGGCGTGTATGTGGGCGCTTGAGTTGTCACACACCTTTGATGATGTCTGCCTTGAACGCTGCAAACTGCTGCTGAATCTCTGCTCGCACTTCTTCCTTAAACCGTTCAAGATCAGCCCTGGCGTGTGTGTGCGTGAGTCGGTGAGAGAGTGTGGGTATGTGGGTGAGTGTGTGCGTGTGCGAGCGAGTGAGTGAGAGAGCGGGATGAGACAGCGAAGCATGCGATGGGTGCATTGAAGCCAGTTATGTCCCTTTCCACACACATACCGCGTGATTGGAGCGGCTGGATCGGCGCGTGCGCCCTCTGCGCCACCGCTGCCGCGTCCTTTCCTGGCTCGGGTGCAGCCTTCTCCTCCTGACACCACATGTACACGTTCATACGTATGTGTGTGTGTGTGTGTGTGTGTGAGTGTGCATTTGCAGGTGTACTTGAATGAAGGGCCTAACAAGAGTGCGACACAAGACCCACACGCCCGTATCTCAGCCCACCCTGCACACCTGCTGTGGCTTTGGACGGGCAGCCGGGGCTGGCACGGCCTTCCTTGCTGTTGGCGGTGGCTTTGCCTTGGGCTTTGGTGCTGGGGCTGCCGGTGTGCTTGTGGCCGATGTGGTGGATGTGGTGGATGCGGACGTGGGGAGGTTTGGCTTTGACGCGGGCGTTGGGGACGATGATGCGCCCTGTGCCACGCTCGTTCGCTTCTGGTGGCGTGGTTATGTATGCGTGTGTATGTGCGCGCGCGCGCGCGCGTGTGTGTGTGTTTCTGAGGGTAAGGTGATCGTGGCGAGTGTGGGTGGAACAGGAGGGGGGGGGGGGGTGTTTTGAAAGCAGCATCCACAGCAGGAACAAGGGCAAATGCAAAGATGCAACATGGTTATGACAACACAAGCTGCTTATGAAAGCCATCGCACATTTTGCCGCGCCTTGAGTGCACCAAGCAGCTCCTACAACACAATGCGTGCATGTGCGCGCGTGTGTATGCGCGTGCGCGTGAGCGTGGTGAGGGGAAGTCATGTGGCGATTGTGCGTGCATGGCGGCACAGTGCAGGTGGCACGGCCACATCACGGCCAAATCACCAGACGGCATCGTCATTCCCCCTCAACACCCACGCTGCCGCAGGCCCATGCGCCACCGCACCACTCACATTGTTCATATCCATTGGGCGAGAGTTGTTGCTGTTGTTGGTGGCGGTAGTGTTGTTGCTGCTGCTGGTGCTGCTGTTGGTGGCCGCGGTGTCGTTGCTGCTTGGCCCGTTTGTGTTTGTCTGCAAATTGCACTTGACACGTGAGCGAACTGCCACCGCCTTTTCCTGATAACGCAAATCAATCCGCAACACACGCACACGCACACGACACGGACACGCACAGACACATTCATAGACACCAAGATACACAAACACACCCACAACCTACACACACACCCCCACAACCCACACACCCACTCACACACCCACTGACACACACACACACACACACGCACACCCACCCCCCACACACCCAAACACAACACATCGTGCACTCGGCGGCGCACCTTGAGCTGAACCGTCTTGAGCTGGTCTGCGAGCGACGATGCAGACGGCGCCTTGTGCCCCATCCCGCCCCCGCCCGTCGTCGGTGGCGGTGGTGGTGCTGGTGGCGGCGTGGGCGCACTCGTGGCCGGCGGCGGGGGCGGCCCTGGTGGGGCCTTGGGTGGCGGCGGAGCTGTGGTAGGCGGTGGCCCTGATGGGGGCGGGGGTGGGCCTGACGGTGCTGGTTTGGATGGCGGGGGCCCTGCAGGGGGTTTGGAGGGTGGTGGCCCAGCAGGTGGTGGCCCTGATGGTGGCTTTGCTGCTGGCGGTGCCGCTGGCGGTGCCGCTGGCGGCGCTGTGGTGGGAGGCGGCTTGGCTGGTGGGGGCCCAGAGGGCGGGGGCTTTGTAGGGGGCGGCTTGGCTGGTGGTGGGCCAGATGGTGGGCCGGATGGTGGCGGGCCAGCGGGGGGCTTGGAGGTTGGTGGTGCTGGTGTTGGCTGGGATGGCTTGTCGGATGGTGTGGGCGTGGGCGCTTTCGGTGCAGGCACGCGGGGCGCTGGCGGCACTTTGGCTGTTGGAGACGGCGTGCATGTGTGTGTATGTATGTATGTGTGTGCGTGTGTGTGTTTTGTGTGAGAATGTGCGTGTGTGTGTGTTTGTGTGAGAATGTGCGTGTGTGTGTGTTTGTGTGAGAATGTGCGTGTGTGTGTTTGTGTGAGAATGTGCGTGTGTGTGTGTGTGTGTGTGGTGTGATGTGAGCGAGGAGTGTCACGGGGAAAGGCCGCATGTGAATGGGAAGTGGAATGACTGCCAGCGTTTCCACATACACACATACACACCGTCTGGGTTGTTGAGGTGCTTGATGGCAGCCTCCACCTGCAAAGCAAAGCTGTTTGCACCGTCCTTTGATGTGAAGTTGAGGCCATACACAACACCGCGCGCATCCCGCCACTGGTGGAACGTCTCTGTTGCGCGGTTGTACGTCGTGTTTCGAAGGATGTTGGAGTTGACCACAACCTGCATATGTATGCGTGTATGTGCGTGTGCATAGTGAGCGGCGTGAGCTCGGGCGTGTTGCAAACACATTAACATCATGACATAGATGACATATGCGCGCACCTGTCTCGCCTGTCGCAAACGCAGACACACACGCAGACACACGCGCGCACACACATGCACACACACTCTCTCTCTTTCCTTTCTCGTAGCCAAGCCCACTTCCCACTCACGCTCTTGTCTTGCAGGTTGCGACCGACGACGCGATATGTGTTGGAATCCTGCAGTGCGAGCACTTGTCACATGAGCGCAAACAGCAACACACAAGCAACAGCAGCAGCAGCAGCAGCAGCAGCAGCAGCAGCAGCAGCAGCAGCAGTCGACATCTCCACTCTTCACACCGCCGATCGCAAGCTCAACGCAAATGTCAACGTACAGCAACGAGGGCATATACACACACACACACACACACGCACACACACACACACACACACACACACACACACACACACACACACACGCACCGGGTTGTGGTAGAGGGTCACTTTGGATGTGCCGTTGTTTGGGCCTTGGGCGGCCCACTTCTTGCTTTCAGCATTGTAGACAAGCACGCATGCTTGGCTCGATCCCACGGGTTGTTCCCTGAACGGATGAAGGCGGTGGTGGTGCATGACGTGAGGCATGTCGGCGCGATGACGTGGGGCAAGGACAGCAGGTGGAAATGATGTTTGCGTGAGTGAATTGGGAGGGGGGGGGCTTGCTTATGAAGCTCTTGTGCGGGTGGAATGATTCATGTGCTTGCTCATCACGGCACACACACACACACACACACACGCACACACACACACACACACACACACACACACACACACACACACACACATGACACACACACGCACACACACACACGTCAGACACACGTGTGAACATCATGATTCACCCTTGTCCAGCAACCACAATAAATACATCCTCGAATCCACAAACAAACACAAACAACACAAACACAAACACAAGCCACTGCACAGAGCGTGAGCTTACGCCATTGTTCTTCCTATTTGCGTGGACACCAAAGGGCAAGCAAATGTCCCCTTTCAAGGTCTGGTCTGCAAGATCGCCACACTCCCCAGGTGTCACAGCAGCCACAAGGAGGGAGAAAAACGACGACGAGAAGGTGCAGAAGTGCTGAGGTGGTGGGGAGGACGATGACAAGCAAGGCAAGGCAAGCAAGGCAAAGTTGAAGACAGCAGCAGTCGTTTTCGGATGACATGACAAATTGTACGCCTTTTATTTGTGGTGTCGTGAACAGCCGTCATCCGCGGAACATGCGAACTCGCTTGGTCGTGCTTGGTGCTGCTGCTGCTTCTGTTGCTGAGTGAGTGATGATGAGCGGGAAGTGTGATGGTGCTGGTGAGGATGATGACGTGGTGGTGGTGGTGGACAGTGACAATGATGACGACGGTGGTGGCGTTGGAGACAAGAGCGGTGTGGACGGTGGCGGAGAGCTGGAGACGAAGCGGGCAAAGGCTGCTGAGACGGTCCGGACTGAACGAGTTGCTGCAGCCACCAGCAGCAGAACGGACAAGTTGGATGTGGTGTTCAAGCTGTCACGGTTACGAGGCGTTGGAAAGGCTGGCGGGTCCCTCAAGGAAGCCAACAACCCGCTCTTTGCAACATCCATTGCCGAAATCCTCTCCCAGCCAGGGCTCCTCTCGTCCGTTCAGTTTAACTATGTGTGTGTGGCTGGTGGAAAGTGGGGGGAGGATGGGAATGGGTTCGCACAGCGACATGTTCCACGTTTGCTTGCCTCTGCAGCCGCTTTCAACAAAACTCACGTTCTCTCTCGCACACACTGCATTGGCTGCAAGATGATTGATGTGGATTGGCTGCTTGACCAGTATCCTGCCGAGTATCGGCGCTTGCCGCTCATGATCGTCTACGGCAACGACCAACGCGTATCCAGTGCGTGTGTGTGTGTGCTTGTTTATGTGGGTGCGTGTGTGTATGGTGCTTGCTGATGTGTATGTGTGTGCATGCCGGAGTATGCACGTGTGTACACACGCTCGGAGTTGCCGACGTCCCCTCACGGATGGCCTGCGCTGCGCCTGAACAGAGGAAACGGAGCACGACACGAGCAACGTGCGATGGTTCCGTGCGCCGTATCTACCAGCGTAAGTCCAGAGTATTAAACGAAACGTGGGCGCGTTCCGCTGTGGTGTGTGTGTGTGTGTGCGTGTGTGTGTGTGTGTGTGTGTGTGTGTGTGTGTGTGTGCGATTGTACTGTCGTCTCGTGCGAAGCAACTCTGTTCTCCACTGCGGCTGAACCAAGTGTGCAAGCTTCCCCTCACGCCTAGCATTGCTACCTGTCCTCTTGTCACCGGTATGCGTGGACAACAACAAACAGGTTTGGGACGCACCACACCAAGATGATGCTGCTGTTCTTCCACGACGGCATGCAGGTTGTCGTGCACACGGCCAACCTCATTTCCCGCGACTGGAACCTCAAGGTAGGTAGGTGTGTGTGGTGTTTGTGGTGTGTGCTCGTGCATTTTTGTGTATTGTGATGTTGCTTTGCTTCATGCCTTGCGCGTGTCATTGCTTCTTCAATGTTCTTCGACGAGCAAGCCTCACCCTGCTGTCTATTTGTCCACACACAGACGCAAGGCATATGGATGTCTCCCAAACTTCCTCGCTTCTCTCCAAAGCGCGGCCGCGTTCAGGTGTGCTGTCTTCCTTTTCATATCAGTGTCCCATATCTCGCATTAGACAACGATGGCCCAGCGCAGCTGCACGTGCATCCTCAACTTCTCTCCGGCTCATCCTCACCCACCTCGTCCTCCACGCAACCCACCAACAGGACATTTCCTCCTATTCGCCAACAGGCTTTGGGGCGGACCTGTGGTCGTACCTGCGCGCGTACGGCGATGGCGTCCAGGGCGGCGTCTCCATGCGCGCCGTTCGGGAACGCATCGCTGCACACGACCTCACACACGTCAAGGTTGTCTTTGCTTGTCAGTATGAGTGAGTGAGTGTGTGAGTGAGTGAGTGAGTGTGTGAGTGAGTGAGTGAGTGTGTGTGTGTGTGAGTGAGTGCGTGAGTGTGTGTGTGTGTGAGTGAGTGTGTGTGCGTGTGCATTGCAGTGCCATGCATGCCTGCGTCATTCCCTGCTCCGTGTGGCATGTTTCCCTTTTCATCCCTTCAAGTAGTCATACATTCCACACACCCCACCCCAACACAACAACCACCATTGTCTCTCCTCTCTCTCTCTCTCTCGTTGTGCCAGGCGCGACTTGTTGCCTCTGTCCCCGGCCGCCACCGCGGGACGTACAAAGACGGCGTGGGGACAACATGAAGCTCAAGATCTCCTCCTCCAACAGCACGCAGCAGGTGTG